CCTGCTGTCTGACACATCATACACCTACAAGATCATACCTGCTGTCTGACACATCATACACCTACAGGATCATACCTGCTGTCTGACACATCATACACCTACAAGATCATACCTGCTGTCTGACACATCATACACCTACAAGATCATACCTGCTGTCTGACACATCATACACCTACAGGATCACACCTGCTGTCTGACACATTGCACACCGGCAGGATCATACCTGCTGTCTGACACAATTCTTCGCACTGCAGTCTTCAGAGAGAATAGGGCAGATTGATTTGTTGGTCTTACTGATGGTATGGTAGGCGCTTGTTTTTCTCTTTCTGTGAAGATTCAAGAGCTTGCCTTCATCAGTTAAATCAATTTATATTGACTTTGAAATATGCTAACATAACTGCTGTATGCTGATGCCTGGATCCTCTTTGTCTGGTGGCTCAAAGCTTTGCCTTGAGAGGGCTGGTATTAACATTGTCAGTTGTTGGTGGTCCTTGTTTTCTTTAGTATTCAGTAGTGATAGCCTGTGATGTTGCAGTGGGATCCATCTTCCTTCACAGAAGGACAGTCTGGAGATGGTCGGAGAGGTCATTGGTGGGATGGCCCGGTGCCCCTACGACCCTAAACACGCCAACGTGGCCCTGTTTGCAGGTAGTGTGTCACGTCGTGTGCCACACATTTCTTGTTCTTCTCACCAGTGAATACTAGAAACCCACTTTAGAAACCCAAACGCCCCCCCCCCCGCCGAGTCCCACTCAGTCCCCTGCCTTTGCTGGCATTACAGTGTTCTTATAACTGCTATCTGAAGGCCATTCTTAAAGTGCCATTAAATATGAATAAAAGACTCGCCCACCCTCTTTGATCTTCCACTCGGCCCCGCCCTTTCTGTTCTTTCTGCATTGGCCCCGTTCTGCCAATCATGTATGTATGTATCATTTCTGCAGCGTTTGTTTCTGTCTACTGTAACCCATGTCATTTTCTCTCTATCTCTCTCTCCCCTTTACCCTTCCACCCCTCCCTTAAATTAACGCCACAACTTCCGCATTTGCACTGTTCTTCCCCCCCCCCCCGTGTTGACGCCGTATTCGTCTTCCCTTATTTAGAGGGCAGCCTCTTCACCGCCACAGTGACAGACTTCCTGGCCATCGATGCCGTCATCTACCGCAGCCTGGGGGAGAGTGCGGCCCTGCGGACCATCAAGCACGACTCCAAGTGGTTCCGAGGTACTACGTTCTGACTGATCGGACTGTCTCACACTTGTAGCACTCGACTGCAAAAATAATAAGGCTAGGTCAACACTCATTTTTTTTAATCAATGCTGCATGAATAAAACAAACATTAAGCGGAATTTTAAAAGGAACTGTTTTCTTCAGCTTCTGTATACTGATATAAAATACAGGTGTCTTATACCTGCAACATTCTTAGTGGTATAAATTATGGTCATCTCACACATACAACACTCCTACTGATTGAAATTACAGTTGTCTCACACTCCGTTCTAATATAAATAAATATAGTAGTATTTGGGAAATGGCACAGACATATCTCTCCTGCCTTTTTAATACTGTAATTCAGTATGAATGCCCCCTTATCGTGGCCACTATTCATTTCGCTGTTTTCCTGCTTTGTGACGATGCTACTCGTGTTAGCATTTATAGCTGTGCTAGTCTACATCTCGCCCAACATTAGTGTGGGTGCTGTTACCATGGCGATCTGCGGTAAGCAGGGAGAAGGGCTGTGTCAGGGTCCTGTGATACTGTGTTATGGGCGTTTTTGTTTTTTTTTCCTACTTTCAGAGCCGTTTTTCGTCAGCGCCGTGGAGTGGGGACCGCATATATACTTCTTTTTCCGAGAAATGGCCATGGAGTTCAACTACCTGGAGAAGGTATGCTTTGGAATAGCAAAGCACAGTATGGGTAAAACAACAAGGCACATAGACCATACGAATGCTGCTTGGTCCCCGGTACCTGTTGTTGGCCTGCGTGTGAGATATTTTAGTAAAAATTCCAGGCCAGAGAGGCCTGTAATCTTTCAGCATTAAATGGACATGATGGCTGAGGTAAATGTGATCAATCAAGGAGAGCTTGGAATTCACCTAAAACTCGAAACAATTCGTTTTCTGGGTGAGCATACGTGTTTGATAAGCTACAAAATCCACAAGGGTAGGATCTCAAGGGACATTGTGAGTGTTCCTCAGTGAATTTATAGACAGCATTTGAATCAGCAATGGCATTTGGCTTTAATAAAAAGTATTTCGTCAGCAGGCATTGTTTACTTTTAACATGTCCTTCCCAAGGGTAAACATTTAGTTTCTTTTTTCTTTTTTTTAGAAACTATTAAGGTATTTTTTTGGCTGGAGTTAGCTTCTCTGTATGTGTGTGTGTGTGTGTGTGTGTGTGTGTGCAAAAATGTGAGTGTTTGTGTGAGCGACAGGGGATTGTTATCTGAGTCTGTATGCATTTGTAAGTCGATGCTTGGGTGCTTGGGGACACACACAGATATCGCCACAAGGGTTCCAGATTTTTTTGTCTTCCTTTTGAGTGTTTTTGTGTTTGGATATACAGGTCTTGCTAACTTTCTTGGCTCAGTCGGGAACTGTCTCCAGAGTGACAGCTGAGAGGATGACCACTAAAAAACCTCATTGTCTTACTGAATATGCTTTCTGAGCATTTGGGTATTTTTTTACTCTCAGACTCAAAACCTCAGTGCATTAATTTAGCAACAATGACTGCAACTATCCACTGATTAATCAATCTTTTATACAATCTTGAAGACATTTTGGCTCATTCTTCCATGCAGAATTACATGCAATTCATGCAGTGTCATTTCTCAGGTTTTGCTACAATGTACAAAAGGAGTTTAGGTCTCAACTTAGACTCTTTTCTTGCCATTCAACCATTTTGTCATAGTGTGTTTCAGGTCATTGTTAGCTGCTCTTCAGCCTGCATACAGATGGCCTGATGTTCTCCTGTAAAATTGAGACTGATGCTAAAACCACGATATCTGACTCTTACTCTGAGGTCCTTACTGGGGAACATAGTGTTTGGTATTAATCAGACATAACGTCTCCATGTCAGACAAAAAGTTCCATTGTTGGCCTCTCTGTCCATAGAACATTGTTCTAAGAACCTTTGAAGATCATGCAAGTGGTTTTTGGAAAACTTGGGATGACATAGTGTTTTCCCCCCTGGCTAGTTGGCCACATATCCTGTTTTATTGTATAGTCACACACCCTGACCTCAGGGGAGACCCGAGGGAACAGAGGCACTGTGATTCTTCTCCAGGGTTTTTCACGAGCTAATAGGTGAATTTATGCGTTTGCACTGCATGACTCTGACTGGTGCGGTTAAACGACAAGATGCATCGGCAACTTTTTGAACCCTGGATGGGGTCATGAGGAATTGATTTGATCGATTAATTGAGCTGAATTTGATTGAGCTAAATTTGATTGATGCCTCTAGATTCACTCTAATGGGCCAAAGTTAGTCTGATTTATAATCAGTTCAACGATCTGATTCTTTATTTGGCTTAACTAGATGGGAATTAATTATTCGCACCTCAGTATTGCATTTTTGATTCTCTCCATGTCTGTACACAAAATAAATGAAAGAAACTCTAAGTCATTAGGATGAGGTCTTTCTCTCCAGGCTCATCTCCCAACACCTGCTAAAATATCAAAACAAATTTGATGTGAAAAATGATTTCAGGTGCTGAAAATCATACGTGACATATGATCTTCGGCTGTAACACGCGTGTGTCTGCAGGTGATGGTGTCTCGGGTGGCGCGGGTGTGTAAGGGAGACCTGGGCGGGTCTCAGCGGGTCCTGGAGAAGCAGTGGACGTCCTTCCTGAAAGCCCGTCTCAATTGCTCTGTGCCTGGCGACGCCCACTTCTACTTCAACCAGCTGCACTCCACCAGCCCCGTGCTTCACTTGCATGGCAGGGACATCATCCTGGGGGTGTTCTCCACGCCCACAAACAGGTACCACCACCAGGGGGCGCTGTGTGAAAATGGTGTGAACAGATTGCCGGTTATAATGACATCACTGCTTCAGAAGTGATTAAATAAACTAAGCACTCCAAGTACTTGCCAGTACTGGATTAGGATTTGCAGATACTGAGATATTCCTGCATTTTACCCACTCTGGTAACACTTCTCTTGCGGAGGCACAAATAATGTATTATTATGCTATTACTTGTATGCTATTATGCTATTACTTGTATTAATTAAACATAAGTAATAGCGTTACTTAGAATTAAGAATTAATTAACCACAAACTAAGTCTTAGTTACACACTGGTCTCATGCTTATTCATCTTTAATGACCTGGGAGACATCTTCTATCTCAAGCAGTTACTATATTTACTACTTTGTCTGTTAATTCTGTAAACCAACAGAAGGAACAATTAATGAATAATCAGGGAAATAGTGGGAAATAATCATGTTTGTTCACCATTAATGAACCATAACGCATCTTTTATCTCTAGTAGGGACTATATTTGTTCCTGATTTGTATTTAGTAGTAACTGAGTTACTACTAGGTAAGGGCGCCCCCTCGAGTAAAGTGTCACCCCTACATCAGAAGTAAACAGCTTGTTGGTGCTGATTTCTGGTAGCTTAATTTCATTTGTCATAGCCAAAATAAACTAGCCAAAAATAGATATGTTAGTTCAAAGTTTAAGAATGGCTCAGTGATGAATGGCGACCGATCAACCAAAAAAAAAAAACGCAGCCAACAGCAAATCCGTGAAAAATGCCCTACTCCGTAAATATCAGTCGAGAGACTTTGAGTGGTCGAGGCATTCAGCTGGAAATTAGGAGCGCCACTGCCATGAAGGGAAAAGAGCTGTTTACCTCGTACTGAAGGTATTTCTGCAGCCTCGACAACAGGCATTACCACTAGTGGGCAAAGGCTCAGAGGGCTGAATTATGGGTAAAAAAAAAAATCAAAGGGACAACATCACATAATAGTGTAATCACAGAAAAACATGTAATGCAGCATCAAAGCATGGGTCATTGCACAGCTACATGGATAGTGTGGTAGACAGGCATGGAATCAGTCCCTGATAACAGCCCCATGGAGCGACGAACTAGTACACAGCAATTTAATGATATAATAAAGTGAGCTTGGTTACAGTACATGAGAAACCCGGGTCTCACGTGTCCAGTTTTCAGAATCTTTTCCTCTATCCCACATTCTCTTTTCCTGTTGGAATGTCGCCATTTTTCCACAAAGAGCTTCATCTTCCAGGCCTCTAGCGGATGATCTTTGCTCAACATAGATGTCAATTTTTTTGCCTACAAGTTGGAGTCTAAATTTTGATAATATGGCCAAACTAGTTGAGCCCCCCCCCCCTTGACACGTTGAGGGGTGCCTGGTTGGAAGCAGCAGAGCTCGGTTGCCCCCAGCTTGCTCTCGGGGAATAATAGCACCCCCTCCTCACTCGCCTCATTATCTGTAGCGGGTCTACAGTCAGAAGGAAAATCTGTTACTGTGATGGACATGATTGGACATGGTGGCCTGGGCTCACTCCCAAGGGAACAATGTACCCAGCTGGACCCCCTGCCCTCCCACCTCTGAGCCAATCACAGGCTGTCACATCGAGGCTCACACAGAGGTTGTGGGGAACCAGTCCAGCTCAACCGTCCAATCACAGCTCGAAGCCCGCTCAGCCATCCAATCCGGCGACGACCGGGAAGTGTGGCTGCTGGAGCTGCTTCCTGATGCGGCACCATGGGGCACAGCAGTTGGCCAGTCCATCCGGCTCTCCCTGTGTCTGCTGTCCGCTGAGCAATTCAGTCCAGGCCGGAGTGTTCCCATGCTATCGCTCGGAAAAACAGCCCGTCTCTCCAGGGGCCTTTCGTGGCACAGAATTCCCACAATGTAATTTGCTTTAACAAATTCAGAACACCGCTTTTATTTGAGTGTGATGAGCAGCCTGTGGTCCTCTTAAGGATAATGAAAGGCATATTTACATCTAAAGAGATATTTACAAAGTGTGCCCTGTTTTATAATTCAAGAGTGTGCTGAGTTTACTACTGGCTCACATGAGAAGCTTAACGTTAATGAATATCGACTGCATCGCAAGGAAAGATGGAGGGGGTTTATGGGCCGTGTGGTTATGAGGCATATGGCATAAGTTATGGCCGACGTTCCTCCATAGGAAAGCTCTCCATTTTTTCCCCGCAAGTCAAGCCCACTGGATTGACGGAGACCATAAAGGCGGCAGAATCTCTATGAGAGTAGATTCTTCCTAGAAAACTCCCTCTGGATGGTGGAGACGGTCTTGCATTGTATTACACCACACTGAGGTCGAGCATTTAAAGCGGTAGAGCGGCATGCCTGTCGGTTGACGTGTGTGAGGGTATCTTCTGTGGTGGAGGTCTCTTGCTGATGCTGGCTGTCCACATCCCACAGCATTCCCGGGTCGGCTGTGTGCGCCTTCGACATGCAGAAGCTCGCCCGGGTGTTTGAGGGCCGGTTCAAGGAGCAGAAGTCCTCCGAGTCCATCTGGACCCCAGTCCCAGATGAACTTGTCCCCCAGCCCAGGTAGGTATTCCCCATGAGTTGGGCATTCTTGGATCCATCTCCACATCTTCACCACCAGTATGACCATTATGACATTAGTATGACCTCCCATCAAGTCCTCGAAAACATATCCCGACCTTTGCTCTTAGGCCAGGGGGCTGTGCCGTCCAGGGGTCAAAGTTCAACTCCTCCACCGCCTTCCCGGACGAGGTGCTGAATTTTGTGAAGACTCACCCGCTGATGGATGAGACGGTGCCCTCACTCGGTCAGAGCCCTTGGATTGTGAAGACAATGGTCAGGTGAGCTATCACCTCATTCATCTTTACAGCTCCACAAAGGGACTCAGAAACGTTTATAAGTCTGTGCGAATCCCAGTTAATAATAATCCACTTTACTACTTGGTGTAAAGATCAAGTATGAACTCTCCAACAGACTCCAAATATGAGGCTGTGCTAGGTATGTTCCCACATAAACACAGTACTTTGTATCTTTCTAAGTACTGGATTATTACGAATGATGTATCTATTAAAGATTTAGGATGGAACATTCTATGTAATTCGATGCAGTCTTGCACAACTGGTTTTATTCTGAGGCTATAAATCCTTAGAAATCTTTCTGGTTTTCCACCAGCTACTCTTGGTGTCCCACTGTTTGCAGTTTTTTTTTATGTACTAATGGGCAATCATCAACCGCACGGGGAGATGCAATCCAGACCAAAGACACCCGGCTGGCGTTTACACTCGCAGAACATCATCAAAAGACACCGGCATAGTGTAAAATCTTGCACTTTATGGAAATATCCAAAGTGATATTAATACAGTGCGATTGTAACTAGAACAATATCCTGCATGTCTTGTGAGCCAGCAAGCAGAATTTCCTGCTATGAAAAGCGCGCTCTGCTATGTGGAACACTGGTAACAGTAAGACTGGTGGGAACAGGGAGAAGGAGCTGTCATTTGGTTCTTTTCCCTTTAGGTACCAGCTGAACATGATGGAGGTGGACACGGAGGCGGGGCCAAACAGGGACCGCACCGTCCTCTTCCTGGGCTCCACCAGAGGGACCGTCCTCAAATTCCTCATCATGCCTGACAGGGACAATCCCACAAGCACCACCAGTGTGTTCCTCGAGGAGCTCGAGGGCTACAACCCAGACAAGTGAGCGTCCCTTAAACTACTAGGATATGACACCAACCATGAATACTGCGTAATAAAGCTCTCTGCTTAGCTGTTTAACAAAGCTCACTAAGATCTGCATTAAATAGACAGTTCTTTTGTAGCAGTATTGCACTAAACGCACAAAAGTTGTGGGTTCAAATCCCAGGGAGCACACATAAATTGTAACCCTTCCCCCTACTGTATATCGCTTTGGATAAATGCATCAGATGAACTGAATAAATATAAGGGAACCAGAGGAGCACCGGAATCTCTCCCCAGGACCTGACTTGTGAATCATAGCTACTTCACAGCCACTGTGCTGCTGATGCGTGCGAGTGATTCCCAGGAAGGTCTGTCCGACGGGCCGCCTGCAATCCTGCAGTAGGGATGGGCTGGACCCGACCATGTCCTGTACCTCGGAAAGGCCCTGAGCCGCATGCACCGCATTTTGTCCCGGCCAGGTGTGGCGAGGACACTCCCCAAGCTCGCTCTCTGCTCTCCATGGTGCTGGACCGGCCCAGTGCCTCTCTGCTCTTGGCCTTCCCGTCCTGTGTGGTGCAGGTAGCAGTGGCTCGCTGCCAGCTCTACGCCGACTGCACAAAGTGAGTCAGACCGGCATCGCAAGGCATCTCTCACTCCTGCCCGAGAAAATCCACGCATGCACACGGACGCCTGCCCGCTCTCAGACACACGGACGCTCGCAGCGGCCCCCTCTCACATGCGCCGTCTGTCCCCAGGACCTGCATCGCCTCGCGGGACCCGTACTGCGGCTGGACCCGAGGAAACACCTGCTCCTTCCTCAGACCGGGGACCAGGTGAGAAATCAACCTCAGCCATGCGCTTATTCCAATACTAAGTACAATGTGCAGTGAAACACACAGTTACTGCCAGAGGGAGACCAGGGGGACATAAGTCAAAAAGACATGAGACATTCACAATAAGCTTTAAACATAAAACAATAATGATAAATATACATATTGTGCAACAGGCACTTGTGTGTATGTGTTTCAGTATGCATTATAGAGTTTCTGTATTTCTTTGTGTATTTATGTGTCAGTGTGTTTGTGTATCTGTTTATCTGTGATCATGCCAGTTTTTTGTGTGTGCATGTGTTTGCTCATGGGTAGCAAAGGCATATGTATTTACGTGCACGACTTTTGTGTTGGTTTGCCATGACAGAGACAATATGTGTGTGTTTATGTGTACGGGTCATGTTTATATATCATTGTGGGGACCAAATGTCTGCACAATGTGACAAAAGCCTGTTATTTTGACATTGTAGGGACCATTATTTCAGTCCCCACTAGGGGAAACTCAATTTTATGAAAATCGATAACTACAATCTAAAAATGCCAAAAATCTTGTATTTTGTTTGGTTACTTATAGTTAAGGTTAGGCCTGGGTAGGGGTTAAAGCTGTCATTGTTGTGATTAGAGTTTTGCCTATAGAAATTAATGGAGTCCCAACAAAGATGAATACAATCGTGTGTGTCTCCTCTGTCCAGTCCTCCAATTCACTAATGAATGAGCGGCCAGGAGAGGAAGGTCAGCCGAATAGAGAATGTGTACAGGAACATTTGGGATGTATAGTTTAGACCGAGTTGATCCTCACACCCCTTACGAATCTCACCAGGGCGGCTGCATACAGGCAAACTTTATTTATGAACCTAAAAGCCATTCCGACACAGTGAGGCTGCACAAATTGGCATCATATAAAAGCCACAATAATGAAGAGAAATCAGGCATTTCCACTTCATAAAACGATTATTTTCTTTTGTTCTGTTTTTTTCTTGACGGCATCACCGCAGTGCTTGGTGTCGTAGGCAGTAGTGCCTCCATTCCCCCCCCCCCCCCCCCCCCCGCCTACACGCACTGCTGAGTGACGGTCCTGCGCTGTCGGCTTGTCACGCATGCCACAGACGCCATTCATTTTTTATAACAAACACTGCGCTCCCACGCGGCGTTTTCACCACGATTAGCTCGTGAGCCCTTCTCCACTTGCTACTGAAAAGTAAGTAAAGGTGAATTTTCCTCCAGGTTGGGAACCTTTGAGTTTACTTTGCCTCTACTTACATTTCAAGCCCTTTTGGCTTTTAAATCAAATGTTAATTGCTGCAGAAAGGTCAAATTACTCACCGAGTTACGCAGCGAGTTACTTTAAGAGAGGATTGCCTGTCTGCAGAGCTAACCGACTAATCCAAGAGGTCTCGCACGTCGCGACACAATACAGGCAATTTAGAGACACCGATTCATCCGAGTGCATTTTTTTTTGGAATGCGGGAGGGAACCGCAGGAACCGGAGAGAACCTGGGGAGAACCTGCAGATTCTGCACACTTAGAAGTAGAGGATGAAAGCTGATTTCTTTGCACTATGTGGACGCAGATTGGGGGTGCAGGTGTTCCAGCATAGCGTAAAATAATGAAGATGAAACACTTTCCCTTCTCCCTCCTGTGGCAGGTTGCCATTCGAGCAGGATGTGGACCACGGGAACACGTCCCATCTGGGCGACTGCGATGGTAAGAATTCTGCCGGGCAGCAACACACAGGGGGTGGGGGTGGGTTCCACTCGTCCCGCCAAAGGTTTTATCTGTCCCATCATCGGTACTTCAACCTCACTTTTAAATAGCATAGTTACCGGAACACGAGCCAGCATTGTGTTGCCAAAAAAGCATCTATGCCAAACAGAATCCCCCCCCCCCCGCCCATCCTTCCAGCTTCCTTTGAAGTCAATTGGCCTTTAAGAATAAAAGCGACATGTCCACCGTGGCAAGATCTAAAGCCTGAAATGTCCACCAGAGGCTGAAACAATTCACTGACGGGAATCAGCCTGTACCAATAGACAACGTGCATGAGTACATAGTCTCCATTGTATGGTCAACGGGATCCTTTCATTACTCAGACTGGTTCCTTTATTTGTGGATATGACAGCCTGGTTTGCAGTCGCCAGCTTGTCTGAGGTGCTGGGAGGGAACTGGCATATCCTGCTTTTGTAAAAAAAAAAACAATAGTAATAAACGAGCCTTTTAATCTAAATGCTCTAGTCTGTTGTAAGCGATCAGCAGAGGGTTACAATCACAGAGAGCTCACCATTATACCTGAGCGTTGCCAAAGGAACACGGCTTTTTTAATCGATCGGGCAGCACCTGCCCAGAGAACCGTTTTAGGGTGTGCAGGACCCCCCCCCCCCAGCCTCTGTTTTTGCGGTTGTTCCTCTGCCCCTTCAACTACCGCTCCGCCGTCAGGCAGAAAGCGGCGCGGCCTTTCCGCTAGCCGCCGACAGATGGGAACGATTACGGGCGCTGCGAGAGGAACGTTCTGAGCGGCAGCGCCGATGTTTTGACTGCGAGGGCCGGTAGCCGCTATCGTGGTCTCGCTGCGGAACGGCAGCCCGGCAAGGAGAAAGAAAAACACGCGAGAAGGGGAACGCGGAGTAGATGTTGAGACAGCCCTCTGGGGAAGCTGAGACCTGTCAGTGGCCATTCAGATCTAGTCAGAATGCTTGATATGTTTTCCATATGGGAGCCTCACTCTGTATGTGTTTATGCACCATTAGAAACATCAGCCTCCTCCAGCTTTAGCCGAGTGACATTTTTGCTTTTCGGAACGGGGTTAGCTAAAATCATGACGTCAAGCTTATACAACCGGCCTGGGCCGGCATGGTCACTCGTCCGTGTCGAAACTTATTTTTAATCGCTCTTTTACAGCACGGGTGCGAACGTGGGCGCTCCCTTGTTCTTGGGCTCAATGGGGCTTTTGTGTTGCCACGGCAAATTCAGGAAGCCCCGCCCACCGGCTGGCACTGGGCCGCGAAGCACACGCGCTATCTGCTAAGATGATCACGTCCGCCGTCCCTGTCACGCCGCGCTTGACTTGGCGAACTTCTGGCTCTCTGGGAATCAGTCAGTGTTACTGGAAAACAGGCTGCCCATCTGCAAGGAGTCTGGCGGGAGGCAAAACCCATCGGCTTTGGGGGGGGGCTCAGGGGGGTTAATGAAGGGAGAGCTCAATATGGCCCACAGCAGAATGGCTATTCATTAGAGACCCGCAGAGAGTTCAGACGAATGAGAAGACACAAAGAGGGGGGGGGGGGGGGGGCTGAAGCCCTGGGGACCAGAAAGGGGCGGGAGGTAGATGAAGCTCAGGTTGCCGTGGGGACGGAGTATAGAGATGGGAGTAAGGGAGGATGCAGATGAGACCAAGATCTTAACGAGGACAGCTGTTGAGAATTCCTTCCTGCCCATCACCACAGACAAGACGTCTGTACCCCCCCCCCATGGTAACCAAACCTCACTGGTTTTTCTCCCCACCCTATTTACTGTGTTCTCAGTGTCGGCGCCATGGTGGGCCACTGGGGGAGGCGGGGGAGGGAGGCTAGCCCCCCCCAAACAACCATATGTGCCCTCCAAAAATATTCACCCCCCCAGTTGGCAGTTTTTTCCATTGACACCCCCATCTCCACCCCCCCATCCCACCGTCAACAACTTTTCCAGTAACCCACCCTTGTTGCCCCCTCCCCCCCCTTTGAAAATCTCAGCTCTGGCCTCTAGATTTGTTCTGGTGCCAACACTAGTCACATATACTTACAGGATAGTGACAGTCATCACGCAGGCCAAATCCCACCAAGGTTCTGAAAGAGAGCTGGACCTCATATCCAAAGCTGTCTGAAGCCTTTCAGCTGGACTCTAATTAGAGCTCAGCCACTGCACTAACAATGTTGTGATGCCATCTGGTTTCGTTATTTTCCATAACCGCTTATCTAATGCAGGGTCACGGTGAACCGGGTCGTGACTGAACTTAACTGGGAAAAAGTTCAGTGCAACAGAGTGTGGCGGCCAGCTCATATTTTAACTCAGCGCAGCTGGTGAGAAGCAGAGCTGCCCGGGAAGAAAGGGACAGGGTCTGATATCGTCATATTAACACCAGCGCTGCCGATGGCTGTGCCAGACACTGCGCGGGACCACTGCCTCTTAACGTGAATGAACAGTGTGCAGTGCAGTGTGCAGAGTGACAGCCACTGGCACTGTTAAATAGCATCCAGCCACATATAGGCATGGTCCTCGCTCTGTCGTTTGCGGTCGCTAACTGATCAAAGTGAAATGCACGAGTTTAGCTACATCTGCTCGACGTTTACATGAAACCAAGATTTTGGGATTTGGAAATGAGGGTTGCCCCGTCCTGCTGAAACAACACAGAGGAAATAAACAGGTTATGGTTGCTAAGGAGCTGTAGAAATGTAAAAATAAACACAAAAAGGGCATAAAGGAAAATGTGATAATTACATGGTAAATGCAGTTTCATGCAGACTTGCTCAATAACTTTGTTTAACGTGGGATTACATGGAATTAGGCATCACGTATAAACAAAAATTTTAATTTGACGACTGACCCACGTTTTTGTGTGAGTTTTTGTGTAAACCCAGAGTGCATAAAGCAGCTATAGGAGAACAGTCTGTTTGGAAAAGCAGCATGCAAGTACAAATTCATTCAATCATTCATTCATTCATTCAACAGTCATGTAACTTTAATGATAAACCTCCGGGTTTTTGCCGGTGGCATTTCATAGAGTTACCTTGGCTGACAAATATCTCCTCTTACTCATATCATATTTTGGTAGAGTTTGTTTCACTAACAAAGAACCAACATACATTTTACAGCAAATAAAGATTTCGTAGGAGTGAGAATTGCACCCTTTGTTTCTGCAGATTATTTGATGTCGCACGTCTCCGAACATTAGTCAAACATTTCAACTCGGGATTTCTCCTGGTGTTTTTGGTGAAGGGCGGTTTTTCACAGCTAAGTGAATTAAACAGACAGTCAGAAGATAGATTAAAACTAGTGGAGGCTGCCAACGTTGGCCGCCTGTCATGCGACGCACATTCAGACGCAGCGCGTCTTTGACTTACTGCTCTTCTTGTTCAAGCCAATATGCTCTAACTGCATCTGTGGATTATCTTACGCATTATTTATTTTTATGCAACCATATGGCAGATAAAACCTAATTCTAATGATGTTTAGCGCTTATTTTTCTCTGTGTCCTAATTTATCTGTTTTATTTCGACTCTAACTTGATAAAAGTTGTTTTCTGGAGAGGATTTCGTATTCATCTCCTAGATATTCTCCATCGGGCTGAGTGTTATAAACCTAATGAAAACGATGAGGTTATTTCCATTTTAGTGTAATGAATAAAATTAGTTGATATGCTCACAGCGTACCTCCCTGAAGCAACAGAGAGGATCTGTCCTGGGTCTTCTAAATAAAATAAGGAAGAACAGGCTACTGTGGATGTTGACTCTTTATTCAGGCGCCCTTTATCTGCCCAAGGTCTATAACATTTTCCCACTAGGTGTCGGAATATTGTGTCTGTTTATTTGACATCCTAACCCCATCTTGGTCTGTGTATTGCGGCTGATGACCTGACCTCCCCCCCGCTTGTCTGGGACTTCTCTCCTCCCCCAGGCCTGCCGGAGAAGAGCTTCGTGGAGGAGGTAGACAACCTGGTGTCCATCAACCTACTGGTGGTAGCTGCAGTGTCAGCTTTCGTCACCGGGGCGGTGCTGTCCGGCCTGGTGGTGTGCTGTATCATGGGGCACAAGCGGCGCCCGCGAGCTCGCGGCGCCGGAGCCGGGGCTGCGGGCCGACACCGCGGCGACAAGACCCCAGGCGGAAGCGGATCTGTAGTGAGCGTCACCCGGCCCGGCGGTCCTGGCGACCGGTCCCGCCCACAAGCAGAGACCTTCTTCATGATGCCCAATGGATGGGCGGAGCCTGGAGACCTGGATGCAGGTTTGCTGCCCACACCAGAGCAAACTCCTCAGCAGCAAAAGCGGCTTCCTCCTGGCCTCCGTCTCTCCGACTCCGGTTGGGACCAGAGTCAGACGTACCTTGGGCCGGCTGGGACACCATGCCCACTGACCTCCTCCTCCATTTATCTGAGTTCCAAGCTTCTGCAGGGCGGTGGGGGTCGACGGGAGGATCTGGGCGGAGCCAACTTCCCCATGGAGCGCCAGTGCTTCCTCTCCCTGACCCGCCCCTTGGAGCAGATGGGCCGCGGCGGCGGCGGCACGGTGCTGCGTAACTCGGCGGTGGAGTACCGCTACCCGGCGACGCCGCAGGACTCGCCCGACCGCCGCAGGGTGGTCTCAGCGCCGAGCGCCCAGCTGGACTTCGGAGACGCCCTGCGCTGGGCCCATGGGGGGTACGCATTTGACAGCGGCGGCCCTGCCCCCCCAAACCCAGGCCACCACCGCCCCAGTTCCCACCCCCACCACAATGCGGCCCGCATTCCAGGGCTGCACCAATCACGGGGGTACAACAACGTGCCGGACATGGGCCACTTCCTGGGTAAAGTCGCGCGCGAGCGGACTCCTTCCGGCCAATGAATGGAAGCGATTCCAGAACACAGAACCCAGCCCTCTAAACCGACACCCCCTGAAGTCCTCTATGCCGACCCCACCCCCATGCACACATTAAGTCTGCTGCCCTTCCCCTGCATACCATACATGCGCAGACATTTGCTAACCGCGTGACGATATGACACGAAACCGATAACAGGAGATACTGAGGCGCTCGAAAAGCACTTTACTGAGGATCCGGCGTGATTCCTGTTACGAAGCAATCGACTCTAGATCAGCCAAGTTAATGTGACACGTCCGTCCGATGTGTGACAGACAAATGGCGTGCGAAGGAACTTGGGAATTCATGAGTCAGTATTGACCGTGGACTGCACACTCCACACCCTGGCTTAATGTGAAATATGGTGAGAAATTGCTGGGGTTGTTACTGCAGAAAAACCCATCAGAGGAATGTAAGCAGACTGTGCTGTCTATAATGGCGGGTTATGTTTGGGGCCCTCTAGTGGACACTTGAAGCACTCTCAGCTGGAGCACACTACTGGATGACTGCTCCAACACAAAGTTATTTGTATGTAATTCACAGTGGGAATGTAATGAAGAAGGAACCGAGTGGAGAGAAAGTGTAAGACTCTTCATTTGACGCGTCTGACTGTTTGGTGTCACTACCAGGATTCCGGTAGGAAGACTCTCAACTTCAAACTAGCGGAACTAGTACATACAGATACACACCTGGCGCCACCTATAGGTGGTTCGGAAATGGGCGCCATGCCACATCCCTCAGCCCAATAACTGGTGACTGTGTGGGCTGGACTCTCCCTCTCTCATCCTTTGCTACTTCTCTTCTCCCATGACCTCATTGTAGTGTTGGGTCGTTTTGTACAAGGCCTTCGTTCAGTGCGGGACAGAGCCATTGTGGGGGCTGAGCTCTTTGCGTCTCCTTGTTTAAAATTGTGACGGCCCTTATCGGCGTGATTTATTACCCCCCCTTCCCCCCACCCCAACTTCTTATGAGCCACTGTTACTCGTAACCCGCAGCCCCAGGATTTGTACTCAAAGGTTTACTGGTGTTCGCTGGTGGGTTCCAGGCCTGTGAGCAGCCAATGAGCTGCTCAGTTCTCATTTGACCACTTGCATATACACACACACGCATACAAACATGCACACGTATGCAAACAGAGAGTCACACATTCACATACAAGGCAACATGCATCGAATGGCAGATGCAGACTGATCACCCCTCCCAGGTCTGCGTGGTGGTCTTTCTGGAGCCAGAAACAGGCTTGGCGCTGAACTAGTGGACACTCATTATCTGTGCGCAAAGCTCCGTAATGAGCTACGCAAGGATCTGCTATAGACACTCTGGGAACGATTTAAGCCGAGGCATTTTAATGTGCTTCAGATCTCCGCCCCTGGCTGAGTTACCTTCATTTAGTGGAGTGATTCAGTCATTTCAGGCTGCGGTTAAAATGAAGAGCCCGGTATTAAAAATCAGGTCTGATGTTGGAAGCAAAGACAACCACAATAAAAAAGCCTGGGGATGGTGTTACATTGTGTTTCTGTGTGTGGATATGAGTGTGTAAAGTTCATTGTATTGTGTGCTCTCTGATATGTGTGTACTTGTGATAGGATCTTTGTGTGCGTGTGTATTCTTTGATTCTTTACGTGACTGCATTTGTTCAAGCCACCCACATCCCCCCCCCCCCCCCCCCCCCCCCCTCCCATCACCATCATTGCCCCCTCAGGAAAGGGCCGTCCCAGGCAGGACCAGCCCGTGAACGACACAACCAGAAAGAGACGGGCGCATCCCTCATGTTTATGTGCTCCATAAGGCAGGCCACTGTGACAGCAGTTATTGGACCCAGTACAAATTCAATTACGCAACAAAACGAAGCCAAACTGAGGTGTGCATAGGATTTCTGCAGTTCTGCTGCTCATGAGATAACCAGATGGATAACACCGGGAAGCGATCGAAACGACCGCGGGCGAATCTCGGCGTGAACCTTCCGATCTCCTAGAAGCAAGCTGTGCTAGAAGGCGAGAACCTCGTCCCGATGTAGCTGCACAAATTGGCCACCAGATGGCGTACCCTTAACCATGGAAGAATACTTGCCATGACGCGATATGACCCCTGTAAAAGACGCCTGGAAAAGGTTAAGTGTGCGACGCCGCCTGCAAGCACTGTCTGTGAGCGTGCCTTGAAATGAATCTGACGGATCTTTAACTCTTTGTGTGATTCACGTTACTCCGCCGCACACTCAAACATTCAGAGGAATTGCTTCTCTCCTGAGCTACAAACTGCCCCCAATACCCCTACGTATCCTAACATCTTGTACTGATAATTGGTAAATTGCAAATTTGATAAGCACAACAACTTTCACATTGTAAAGTTGTAAACGAAAAGAACAGCCCCCATTGAGTTTTACTCTTGAATTTCTCTGAATTATTCTGAATATTCTGCTTCTTTCTATTAATGAAACGATGTGAAATACTTCTCTTGATTTGGCTTGAATTGTTTTTTTTTTTTTTTTTGACCGGTGTGTGCTTTGCTGAAGAAACTGTGAACGTGAAACCAGCGATTTCTCCAATGGCAAGAGTATGGAGGCATCTAGCTTTTCACTCAGCGCGGAACTTTTTGGGGGGAGGAGCCGTCTGTTGTTGCTATGCCAACGTCGAGCCGCTGTGCTTAGAGACATTAGAGTCCTCCCTGAGTGTACTGTATGTAATCTTAGCCCTCATATTCGAGGGAAAAGCCGAAGATGGCCACTGTGTGGACAAAAGCATGTGCGTGTGAGCCTACTCTACACTAATCTTGTGTCTGGATGTCTGGCATTACTGTGGAAAACGCTCAAACACACAGACACACATACACGCGCACTTTCATATGCGCACTTACGCAGTTTGCCTTTACGTACATATTCTTCTCTGTTGGCCTGTCATTCAGCGGACGCTTCGTTAATCTTTTTTCTTTATAATAAACATGCAAACATGAACTCCCGTGAAGATTGAATATTCTTTTAATGCTATTGCTTATTTAGCAAGTGTTCTTTCTGTAATAATGCGCATGTATATTTCAATATGGGGAAAAAGGTGTTTTACATGCAAAAGCCAAACATTGATTTAAGTTTAAAAATGATGTGACCAGATGGGGGCGCTTTAGCCTCGCATACGCAAACGACAAAGTTTTCCTGGCCAAAGGGCGTCTGAGGTACGTTTTGAGTAGCAAACGGCGAGTAACAGGTATTTAGCTTTATATATAATCAGTAGTTTAAGAAGTTTGAGTAAATCATTAATAAACAGACTCCGGTACATATTGACATCCAAACTCGACGAGGCTTGAGACTCAGTCCGTCTCAGTCGTGAGCAGAACTTCGTGATTTATTTTAATTTGCGTTTTATTAAACAGAAACAGAATACCCCAGTATTATTTTATTAAACACACTCAAAATGGTCCCCTTTTAACTCAGTGTTGTAACGGTGACGTGGCAGTTTCAGTTTAAGTCACCTTTCCTATAGTGATACGTGCATAGCGTGAGTTCACGATGGAATACATTTTTAGCCCACTGGAAAGAGAAGTTTCATTCTTTTTCAAAATGAATAAAAAATTCAAAATGAAACGAAGTGTCTTTTAAGGTAATCAGCACACGCATATATCTTTTTGAACAGCTTAGAAGTGAATTCGATTTGTATTCAATCAATCCTGTATAATGTTTTCAGTAAACAATAAAATGCAACAAAATCCCAACAACAGTTTGTTGTGGCGATCCATTCACAGATCTGGTAATAACTGCTAATCAGATTATATTGTTTACAGTTCACGAATTTACCAGCATTAAACCTGAGAAATAATCCAACATGAATAGGGGAATAGCAAATGACAAACACAATTAAATTCGCAGTGATAATTCTAACGAATACCATTTTTATTTTGGCCGTCTCGTTCTTCATCAGCACGAATATTGTCTGCATTGAGCAAAGTGTTATTATAAAAAGTGGTAAAAGAAACCCTAAAATCTCCAGTAGTAATATGAATGTCCCCGATAGTGGCTCGTCACTCCTCTTATAGCACATCTTCATGTGCGCAGGAAGGTTTTCCTCAATGAATGTGGCACAAATGGTGACGACTGTCACCCAGATGAGGATGCAGACGGCGAAGGCGATGGTCTTTTGGGAGTCCCTGGTCCTCCTCTGGATAGGGAACTTGAGGAGCACGCAGCGGTGGATGCTGATGGCGGTCCTCGTGAAGATGCTGGCGTACATGTTTATGTAGTGAGTGGAGACCAGGAAGGTGCAGAAGGCGGACAGTTTCATCGGCCGGAACGCGTCGTAGATCCTGAAGGGCAGGAACAGCACCAGGGCGCAGTTGGCCGACGCCAGGCTTAGCGTATATACGTGGGTGTCGTTCCAGGCCGCCTTCTTGCAGAGGAACACGAAGACGGCTGAGCCGTTCACCAGTAGCCCCACGACAGCAACAGGGATGTATGCAATCCCCAAAAACAGCTTCATGCCTTCCGAATCGGGCCCGCTGCAGTTGTTGCTTATGTTTGACATCATCTGTGTCCAAGAAGAGATAGACAATCAAATAAAGTAGATCTGTGTAACTGGGCTTGCATGCCTGTCAAGGAAATGGACCCCCCCCCACCCCCCTGCACAGGACAAGCGAGTATGCAAAATGGATGGATGGATTTCTTTTATGCTTACGTGTTTCATTTCTTTTTTGGAAATGCTGCTGTGTTTTTCTATACATCTATATTTGCTTTACATTTGTATGCAGCGGCACTGAAGTGATGCAATACATGCACATTCAGAGAATGCATGAGTGCATTGTGCCCCAGTTTTGCCCGGATATGCATAAGTGTGCAGGTGTGGCTGCCGTGATATTCAGCTCCGCACGAAAAGGCTTCAGCTCTCTGTAAGAGAAGTGGGTCAAGGTTTGAAGTAGCAATCCTCAAGTATAACTATTCACGAGATTTCTAAAAAAAAATTTTTTTGCATGTTTTTGGCTTATTAAATGCGCGGTTTGCCCTTTGGCTGAAGCGGTCTAATGAACCGGATTTTGAAAAACCAAATGTACTGCAAATATGGCTTAGCCACTGCCCACCCAGCTGATTGCGTCCATTTACTGCACAGGGTCATTAACTGGCTGCAGTATCAGATGTAAGAGTCGCCTTTAGATTTGCGCTACTGTGCTGTATTAGTGATCCTATTTCCTCTGAAAAGGTTTCACCAGTATTTACTCGGTTGATATCCCATTATAAAGTTCATATATAAAATAAATACATTTAAGGGTGATAATGTCAATAAACCCTTCAGAACTGTCTGACTTGACTGATGTAAAATAGCCATCCATCAACAAGATGGTTAGAATTACAGTTTTCATATGTATAACAAAAATAACAGTTATCCATTTCTCTCCAGTCAATTAACAGCATGTTTAACAAGGAATGAAATACAACGGCCAGTAACACTTTACTTGAAGCAGTCTACATAAGGGTGACATGTAACCGTCTTAAGAATGACATGACACATGTCATGCACATTAATGACACATTATTGATGTTTATGATCTGTTGTCATAATGTTTCATTCAGTTCCAAAAACCGAATGACACATTATGACAAGAGTGATGTTTATGACAACAGTCTTCTTATGACGGTTACATGTCACCCTTATGTAGACTGCTTCAAGTAAAATGTTGCCCAATGGCCTTATGCAACATTTTCTGTCATAACATTATGACATTACACACACCTTATATCACAGATTCAAATACTGTTTCACTTACCTGGTGTGGCAAGGTCTCGTGCTGTCAAATAGCACACACTGCAATGAAAATCAGATCTGGACTTGGTTTGTCATATAGCTAACGCCCAGTGTAGCGTAATGCTGACTTGAGGCTGTCTTTTGTTCTGTAAGTTTGAATGATACCAAGCAAGGCACTTACTTGACTGTAAGAGATCATTAGTTTATGCTTAGGAGAATATGGTAAGTATGATTAAATAGTTAGCGGAGTCATGGTACTGAATATACCTGTGCTTGTTTTATGAAATAACCAATTGATACACTTTTTAAAAGCATTTTTTTTTCCATTAACAAATATTCATCCATACATTTTCTGTACCTGTGCGTCTTATTCAGGGTGGTGGGGGTTCAGAGCCTTTGGGCACAAGGCAGGGAACAATCCAGGATGGGGTGCCAACCCGTCACAGGGCACACTCACACACCATTCACTCACACGATCAAAAGTTCAAAAGTGCTAATGATAAGGTTTAGTTCTCCCGTATAGTATTCACTTTCAATTTGAAACCCAGCTTCCAATTGGTTAAACTTGCTATGTTGCCATGGAAACTGAGGTTTGTAGAAAAAAATGCCGACCCCCCCACTTGTGGTTCTTTGTCACGTACTGCTGCTGTCAGTCTCATAGAATTGTTTCTCACTGAAAACCAATTTTTACATTTGAAACCTACTGTGACGTGTTTCCATGTTATAACGGAACATAAAACACATAGTGGCTTTCAACACACAGTGAACTTCAATGCAAGGCAACGTAAAAACAAGAAACAAGAAAGACCATAAGAGGCCTAAAGCTAGGCAGGTAGTTTGTGTACACCACAAACTAAAACGGCTTTTGACCATTCAATTCAATTGTAACTAGTTAGAATGCAGAGTCTTGATATCAGAAATTCAATTGTAACCATTTATAATGCCAAGTCTTCGGAATTTCTATTTCAGCTAGTGAGATTCAAAACATTTTTCTCATTCATTTCAACAGGAGTTGGAATTAGTTCGAATGCCACATTCAAATATCAGGAATTCAATTGTAACTAAATATAATTTAATTGTGCAATTGAATTAGAAGTAGTTACAGTAGAATTCCTGATATTAGAAATAGGCATTTTTCGAGTACTAATGTAGTCACACAGCTGCACTACATGGTGTCATGTTGCTCTGGATTTTGTCTTCTGCTTCTAAGTAAATTAGTAAATTGCTTCATTTCTTTATGCATTGTCCAGTCGAATAATATGCTTGCTTTCTTATTTTTCAGTTTACAAACAACAGTGCTTAGCAGTCATATAAAATGCAATGAGTGAATAGCTGATATTTTTAAACAGATATTTTTAATCTTACCTCATTTATTCCCATGAATTGACAGCGCTTGTTGGTTGCAGTGTAAGGTGCAGTGTACCTGCTTACACTAGTGATCTGTCACGAGGGTTGGTGGTTGGGTCGTTCTCTTACGGATATGTCGTTTCACTTTCTTCCAGGTTAATAAAAATATGTCATTAAATTTATCTTTTTGTAAAGTTAGATATGACCTCCAGCAGAAGGATTGGTTTGCCACTGAGGTGATAAAATGTTTTATTTAAAAGAGACAATATTCCAATATTAGGTTCAGAGTATGAAAACACTTCACGGTGATTATTTTACCATTAACAGCAGAGGATTACATACAGTGCTGAAGTTACCACAGGATACACTCATACACAACAAAGAGTAGATAAGCTAATTGAATATGCATTGGGTAGTAGAAATGTATCATTTAACTGAGGTTAATTTGATATATTTCTGTGCAACAGTCATAGTTGAATGTCTGCCTGGTATTTGTTGGGTAGATGTGTACAGATTTCAGTTGTTGAGCCTAATTATAATCAGTCTTAATGATCTGTTTGTCATGCATTGAATTTACAAAAGACTTAGGCTAAGAACGGGAAGTGACTTAAAGAACTTCCCACGGAATCATATCATAATATTATATAGAGCGAGTGTGACCACAGTTACAGATATATCACTATGTTGTTGTGTCTGTAGATTTTTCAGCTAATATTTTGGGTTCATGCTAAAAAATGTCTTGGGTTAACAGGCCACCGTTAGCTTTAGCACTCGTACCTGCTGTAATGTCTCCAGTCCACCGCAGGATCTAGGTCAGTGCAGACGAGAACCATCCACTTCCCTCTCCCATTCACAACCTCTCCGGCTTTCTTCTACTGTCGGTTTGTTTTACAATGTTTTACTGCGTCACATAAACCAGGTCAGTATTGTAGGTTCGCTACAGTCAACTCTGTTTGGTAAATATGTGCACTCTTCGCCACGTGAAGCATTCCATTATTTTACCGCAGCATCCAGAATGCACTCTGACACCACAATTTGGCCCAACCAGGGTACAGGACTGTCTTCCCCTGGGTAGCTCAAAGCCTATGATGTGGTCAAGGAGAGTTTAAAAAGGACAACTAAACCATCAAAACTAGACAGCCCAGAGGACAACTGTTCCGAGGGGACTGCTGCCACCTGATCAGCCCATTTGTACAGTTGGCACTATGCCCACGTGTTTGGAGGGCAGCGGGTACATGCCCACCTGTTTGGGGGCAGCTGGCACCATGCCCATCTGTTTGGGGAAAGAGCTGCTTCCCCCTGTGTTGATGACCACAGCCCCATTGTTGCAACAACCTCGGTATAGTTCCCTGTACTTCCTTGGAAGTGTTCCTCGTCTACGGTCCATTGTTCCAGCAGGTGACGTGGGCAGGGGTCTTTATAAAGGAGGAACAATAGGACACTGGCCTCAAAACACTGCTGGAGACAAGTACTGGTGGTTGAGGGGGAGCACAAGGTCCCTGGTCACCTCCTAGACAGTTATTTCCTGGCTCTTCCAACAGGGAAAATGCAGGGATTTATAGATGATTTCCAACAAATCCCACAGTCACTCCAAGTTTGTCTTGAAGCTGAAGGCCTTGACCCTAGGCCTGCATACAGAGGGCCCTGTCATACAGCGCTGCTACCATCAGCAGCTGCCAGTGAATGCAATCCCCTGCTGAGTGCCAAGCACAATGCACGGCCCCCCACCTGGAGAATGAGGAGTCCCACTGTCCAAATAGAGCCTTTGTTGCTGACGACAAAGAAGTTACCTCTTCAGAAGCTGACCCTCTGCCTTGCTGCTTCCTACGGATCGCTGGACACAGGTCAGCGTCTGCTTCCTACAGTCGCTGCAGTGAGCACAGTGAGCGTCTCTATCATCCAGACGGGCGCAGTGTCGGCCAGCTTCTGAAACGCAGGGACGTTGGGACAGGTCATCAGCATTACGAGGTAGGCGACTCAGCTGGCTCTGTTTGGAAATCCAACTCCTGTAGAGTAACCTGTCCCTCTGGCTCCTTAAAACTCAGCAGCCAGCAGAAGCGTCATACAGTCACAGCAGGTAACACAGTAAGTCATCTCATAGTGGCTTAGGGTCTTGCAGAATATACTCCATGTCCCTGCTTACTGGTGCTTGTGTCAAGATTAAAGGGCAGATCAGGATTACGAAAAACCAGTATGGTGATCTCCACTATAGGGCTTTCTGCAGGATTGTCACATTTGGCATCCCAAATGAGAATTACCACTCATTCTTTGTCATTTAGTGCAGGGGACTTGCATTGTTGTCCATACAGATCCCTTCCCGCCATGGTTCAGTACACATGTGAACCACGGATTAATTGCAAAGTTTTAGCCATAATAGTGTGAAATACAGTTTTACTGTTGCTCGTACTTTTTAGAGTAACAATTCCCTAAATCTCAATGCTATGGAAATCCATACAGGAGGCATTCCGGTATACATGGTTGGGAATTGTAGATTTTGAAAAGATAGTGATGGACATCCTCTATGAACTTCTGTGTAATACAGAGCTGCAGTGAAAAGATACAGACAAAGCAGTTCTGTGTTCATGGGAACAAGGCATGTTAGAAGCTCATTGCTTTAAGTTCTTTAAGTTCTTTAAGTAATAAATGGAAAGAAATGTTCAATTTATCTCCCTTTCTTTGCTGATCCGAAAAATTATCTGAACCATGACTCAAAAACCATAATATAATCTGATCTGTTATCTTTGTGATCCATTGCACCCCTAGTGAACTGTCATTAAAACATATAATGAACTTACAGTAGTAAGATGCAATTGAAGAAGGCTACAGAACTGTGTCTTCGTTTTGGTTGTTGACCAACTCTGCACCACCTCCAGCTTGTCAAGGTTAAATAACTGTCCCTAATGCCCTACCACATGTCATAGGAAGCATATATCTCTTTGTGTCAGTGATCGTGTCTGGGGCTTGAGGCTCGGGTGGTTAGAGTGGTTCACGTACTCAAATACTTGGTGGCGGTTAGATATAGCTGAGCTGAAGTCGGCAGCATGGACTAGAACATTGTCCAGATAGACTGTGCTGGCAGACTGAGGCAATGAGATCAGTGCCTTTTCCAAAGAGTGTTCAAAGGTCCTTGGGGCATTGAAGAAGCCAAAGGGCATGACTGTGAACTGCCAGAGGCCCCAGCTGATGGAGAAAGCTGTTTTACTTCTGACCTCAGGTCTGAGTTCCACTTGCTGCTCCTGACATCCACACAGTCCAAGGCATCAGTGCATGGAAGGGGGTACGACTCCTTAGAGGTCACCTAGCTTACCTGGTGGTAGGTAGTCAATCTACAGCCCTTCAGCCAACTCTTTGCAGGAAATCAGGGTTCACTGAACCGGGTATTTTAGAGTGGGTGGGGCTTCATGCTAGTAAGCCAGGGCTCACTGAACTGGGTATTTTAGAGTGGGTGGGGCTTCATGCTAGTAAGCCAATCTGTAGCAGTGTCCCTCCAGTGACATTTCCAAGTTTGCCACCTTCTGGATTTCAGTCCTCCTTCAGGGGGCTTTCTTCTTCTCAATCTTCTGGCCTGATTTAATAATCAGTTATAAACATGTCGCAGGTCGAATAAAGAAATTATTGTGGGGGTCAGTTGGTGAAGAAATCATGAGGCAGAGAGCAAAGTTAAATTTTTAGACCCTTTTATTGCAAGACCCTCAAAAGGACTGCAGTAAAACAGCAATTGAGAATAAACTCACGTACACACACAGACTGGGGAGATATACAGCCTTTAAGGAGGCAAAAGTGGATGCAGGCAATAGAGTCATACTCTGAAAACTGTGAGAATTAAAGGCTCATTTTTTTTTTTTGATTTCAAGACCTTATAAAAACTTAAAATCCAAAACACATGAAAATAAATCCAAAAAAGTGGAATTCATACGAACCTTTACTCTCACTTCTGCCTATGTAACATTTCGGTTCTTTTTTGAAACCAGTGGACATAGGGGCAGGTTCTCAAAAGGCACTAAGGGAGAACCAGCCCGGCACCAGCACCATGTTGGTGGAAACGAGGTACCAGTGCAGCAGATGAGCTGGTTTGATTGAGTAACCATGCAAGGCCGTCTACTGCAGGCCTTCTCTGACTTACTTATGGGATTGCTCCATGGATAACTCGATTGGTTTA